AATATTTTTCCAAGTTGGATTTGAAATCAGGATATCATCAAATCTCGATCCAGCCGAACGACCGCTACAAGACCGCGTTCAAGACGCGGTACGGGCATTTCGAGTGGGTGGTCATGCCTTTTGGCCTCACCAACGCCCCGACGACCTTTCAGGCGGCAATGACCAATGAATTTCGTGCAATGTTGGACCGGTTCGTGCTGGTCTACTTAGACGATATTCTCGTCTATAGCCGGTCATTGGAGGATCATCTTGGGCATCTTCGAGGAGTGTTGGAGACGCTCCGCCGCACCAAGTACAAGGCCAACCGCGACAAGTGTGAATTTGTCCGGCAGGAGCTGGAATACATGGGCCATTTCGTCACACCGGAGGGCATCAGTCCGCTATCGCACAAGATTCAGGCCGTCCAAGAGTGGTCGGAGCCTCGGAACGTCACGGATGTCCGCTCGTTCCTCGGTCTCGCCGGCTACTATCAGCGCTTCATCAAAGGCTACTCGAAGATCGCGGCCCACTTGAACAAGCTTCAATGCGAGGATCGACCGTTTGACTTCGGAGAGGAGGCACGGGGATCATTCTTCGCTCTCAAAGCCGCGCTATTGTCTACGGAGGTCTTGCGGATATACGACCCGCTCTTGCCTACGCGCGTCACTACGGATGCGTCAGGCTATGGCATTGGTGCAGTCCTCGAGCAACATGACGGTGTGGACTGGCACCCGGTCGATTAGTCAGCAAGAAAGTGCCCATCGTGCATTCCATTGATGATGCACGCAAGAAGGAGTTCCTCGCCTTCGTCCACGCGCTCAAGCGATGGCGGCACTTCCTCCTTGGTCGAAGCCAATTTCGCTGGGTAACGGACAACAATCCGTTGGTCTTTTACAAGACCCAAGACACCGTCAACAGCACCATCTCTCGATGGGTGGCTTTCATCGACCAGTTCGACTTCTTTCCCGATCACATTCCCGAGAAGTCGAACCGTTTTGCGGATGCTCTTTCACGGCGTCCGGATCATTGTACCGCAGTCTACTCAACCTTCGAGATCGACGACGACCTGCAGAACAGTTTCATCCGCGGCTACCATTCCGACCCCGAGTTTCGCGACAAGTACGAAAATTGCTCTCTCCTAATCCGGCTCCTTCTCACTACCGGATCCAAGAGGGATACTTGCTTGTCCACACGCGGGGGAAGGACCTTCTTTGCGTACCAAGTGATCCTCACTTGCGTACACGGCTTCTTGGCGAGTTCCACGATGCTCCCGCCACCGGACACTTTGGAGTCAATCACACGATTGGCCGACTTCGCCAGCGATTTTGGTGGCCCGACCTTCTCGGCGACATTACGCGCTATTGCGAGTCATGCGAGGTTTGCCGACGCTGCAAATCCCGCAACCATCGTCCGTACGGCGAGTTACGACCATTGCCAGTCCCGTTGAG